GGAAACTATGATTCCTGTATCCACCTCATACCAGCTATTGGGTAATCTCCACTCCATTCGGGATGGGTCTCCATGGGTATCGCATTGTTGTCATCCCTATGAGAATCAAACAAGGAAATATTTAGCCCCTGTTTGAGTCACATTCTTTCCACAAAAATATATTTTTAAACAGTGTTTGACATTATTTCAACAACACATTTTTTAATAAAATAATATTACACGCGAATCCAAAATTTTTCCTTATTTTCTAACCATACATTTCTCATCAATACACCATTCCAAAGTTCATTCCTCCCCAAAAAAAAAAAATAATAAAATAAAATTGGGCTCAAACAAGGGCTTAATAGATGACCACCAAGGGACGAGGAAGGGTGTAATAATTGATAAAATGATTTGGAGAATAGGCAAACGTCTTGAATTGCTCCTAAATCCGTCGGAAGGCAAGAAGTATTTAAAAGTCTAATGATGGCTTCCAATTTTTAAGATAAATGAGGAAAAATTGAAATTTAAGAGGACACAAATTTCTATACTACATATTGGCTCCGTGAAACAACAATAATTAAGCTCTACAACTTAACAAACTTGACGATTAACATATAATCGACCCACAATACAAAAAGTGAATAGTTCATATAATTGACTCGAACTCATGATTATACATAAATTTCTATCCAAACTGGATTCAATGAATGTAAACAAGGTGGTGAGCTTTCAATTATAAACTCTTGATTATAACAGATAAGTGGCATATCTTCCCCATGTGTTAGTCCTGTTTCATTGCTTTGCTTTACCAGTTCAAAATAAAGGAAGCATTATGTGTTAGTTTATCATAGTTTTCTTAATTTAAGGAGGAGACACCATACCCCGTGGTTATAGATGTTAGGCAAGTCGATTTAAGCAAATTGGTATAAGGTCGATTTTGATGTGCGTAACCGTTGAACTAATCTCTAACGTATTATGTTGAGTTTCAGAGTTTCTTCTAAATTCTTGATTCAACGTTAAAGTGATTCGCTACATTTTCCAAAATGAACTAGTCTGCTACTTAGTGGTCCACTTTATTCTCTTCACAATGATTCTTAGAGCAAAAAGATACTATATGTATCGTCTTTGCTTTGTAGAAAGAATTTATTATCCAAAACAAATATTATAAATATATCAAAACCCTTAAAGGTTATTTATGTAATTTTCATATGATGCAAGCTTCAATCAAATCTTCTTGCTTGATCAAGAATTGTGATGGGTCTAACATGCAACTAGGGTATTGCGTGACAGGCCTACAAATGTGTCCAAATGGTCAGGACAACATGTGCAATGCAGAAGAGACAAGCCAACCAACACATGCAGTTTTGCCAGGAATTGCTCCAAATTCAAACCAAATTTCCACTGTACCACATATTGTTAATGCATCATTTGCAGCTACTAGTCATTTTCCCTGAGGGACAAAGTTACATGCATGATGTTTACATGGATATTGTTTTATGCCCGATTTGAAATCCCTTGAAAAAAACTACACGATTTATATCATTTCAATTATATATATATTTTTTAAAATAATATTTACATGCAAATATAAATTTTTTTCTTATTTTTTAATTATACATTTTTATGAAAAGAATGGAGCTCAAACAAGAACTTATTCCATCAAATTTAATTTTTTTCTTTTTTTGCTCGTCGTACTATTGTTCTACTGAGTTTTTGTGCCTATGTGCAGTTATTCAAATCCTCGAAGACATGTTTAAGAATTAGAAAATATTTATATATCTCAAATTTATGATGTATATGTTTACTAAGATATGATTGGACATGATTATTAATAAAATATTAACTCGTTTTTCTTGTATAGTACGGTCTAAATCGCTTCACTACACAAGCCATTATTGTCTTCTATTAGTATATAATCATATTCTTGAGTCTCCGTTAATTTTTTTTTGACAAAATGGGTTTAGGGTTTAGAGTTCACACATACTTTGCATTCTTTCATCTTAAAGTGCATTTTATTCATTTTAAGCTAAATAAGACGTGCTCTATATCCTTGGTATAGTGTTTAACTTGAGAGTTATATGATGTTCCTTCACGATCAAATCAGATAGAATTTGTTTTCAAGACTTGTTATAAAATTTGAAGGTTGAACTTGAAGAGTCCCAAATTACGAAAAGTTCGAACAATGACTAAAATGCTCCTTTAAGTGAAGTTAAATTAGTCTATAAATCTTATTCTTTAACAATATAATTTAGTCTTGAACAAACATGTAACTTGAATTTTCCCGTGACTAGATAATTCTAATTTTATTCCCTGCTGATATAGAAATTCTTCTTTGGACTATATATTTCTCCAATTTATCTATTTACATTTTTTTTTTGTTCTTCTGTTCATACATTTTTTTTTCTTTTCCTTTTCCTTTTCAACATCACATGTCAAATCAAGTTAGGTTTCTTAGTAACAAAGTCCAAATCAATAAATGATGACAAGGAATTTTAATGACTTGAAAAGAAGAGGAATCCAAGAAGTTACGTTATCTAATATGTGTTTAGGTGAAATATTATGAGTATCAATTTATGAATTTAACTTGAACTCATGAAATAGGAATAGTCTTCTTTGACTCACTATTTTTTCTAATTATGTTAATTAGATTCATCTTTTATTAATAAAATTTCATGTGTTTGTTCGCATAATATTTTGGATAATCAATTTGACACAAATCTTCAACGATTGTATTAGTCATACAACTCTTGCACATCATTTACAAACCTAAACTCACGACATAAAGGATGACCATAATGTTTGAGATTTTTTTTTTAAAATAAAAAATAAAAAATAGCCTAGCTACCAACAAATGTGGAAATGAAATGAACAGAGTAAAAATGTTAACGCAATTGATTCTATTAATTTACAAAACACAAATTCGTTTATTGTTGTCATATATCTATAAGAAAATTGAACTCGAGACGATTAATTCAAATTTGTATTGTACCACAAGCAAGTGAAAAGTGTTAATTCTTGAAAGTTCTATTTAAATTTAATTTTTTTTTTTTTTGGGCCTTTCAAATTGGTGATACAAAACTTTTATTCATGTGTTTGGATTTTCATGTAAAACCATTAATTATGTCAATACAAACACTATGATTGCTTTTGTTATGTCATATTCCTCTTCATGATTCAAACCATAAGAATGCATTTACGTTGAAACTCAAAGAGAGTGGCACCTAGCCGTTGAGGCTGCTATGCTTATTCACTTCTACTTTAAGCTCGTGAATAGTATGTTTTGTATGATGTGATTAGATGGTGCAATTAGTAAAATTTGATTTTTCCTTTAAATTTCTTACGCTTGTACATTAACATGATGGTTCACCGGGACTTCTTTTTTCCTCTCTTCTTCTGCTCACTTGTAGGGGATCGTGACATATAAATAGTAAAAATTGATTTTACATTGTTCACTATTTTACGACGGTTTACTAGGACCTCTTTCTTTAACCCTTTTTCTGATTATTCGGAGGGGGTCAAGCCCTATAAAGGGGAGGGAATCCAATGCCAATTCTTGCTCATCTCGAATGATCGTATTGGGTATTTTTTTTAATATTATTCAATTCTCCTCGTCTAGTTTAATAAATTGAACACACGTTTTTGTTTGTTTTTGAGTCAGTAGACATCCAATGTCAATCAAGAACCTTCACTTTTTTAATTCTCTTTGAGCTGAATTGTAGGTAAAATTACAAAACTTTGACATTTTAAAGAGAGGGACATTAAATCTTTATGATGTGTGATGCAAGAATTTGACATTAACACATGCTTGCAAGACGATGATTCATTTGAGAATACTAATTTTGAAATTGAAATTGAGCTTCATATAAATCGAATTCATTATTTAAATATTTTAAACTCCATTATCACATAGAAATCTTGAAATTCCATCTTAGAAGTCAATTTTTTTAAATAACTTGAAATCTTACTCATTAATTATTTTCATATTTAAATGACGTGAGATCCTAACGTTAGCGATCACTTCATTCTATCCATCCTTCTGTGTGTATAGATTCTAAAAGATCGAATATTGTATAATCTTGCCAAGCCACTTTATCCAAAATAATTAAACAATTTTATCGATTAAAGTTGGTGCGATTAATGATTAAAAAACCTGACTTTAAGACAACCTGGTATTTTCATAAAATAAAGCCATTTCTAAAAGAAAAATCAAATAATCCATAGATGACTCTGTGCAAAAAAAAAAAAAAAAAAAAGCAGCTTGATATATAAATAATACATTGCTCTCTCTTTTTTTATACAAAGTGCTTTGCCAGAATCATTGCATTTTTCACCATTTGTACATTTTAAGATTTTTACCCTTCAAAAGGGCTTAATAGACTACTTTCTAGAAATCGATGAAACTTTTGGGTGGCCAAGTTTATGCATTAATTTAGTCACTTCATCAAATTAGTTAATTTAAGGAGTAAAAATATTGATATGAATTTATTTATTATGTTAGACACAATGACTCAATGGAGCTATTGAACTTGGATGACCCATTAAAAAGCAGTTCAGGTAATCATCTCGAAATACTCCCTCGTTACGTACTGACAGTCATTTTTGGAAAAGTTATTTAGGAATTCATAAATTTAGACACGCGATACCATAAAATAATTTAAGAGGAATTTGTTCAGATATCTTCATTGGTGACTCAATGTGCAACTTTAAAGTAGGAACCAACTTGGATACCTTCAAAGGTGCTAATGAAATAGTAGGTTTGGATCTAATATTGCAATTATTGGCTAGAAATAAGAGTCAGACAACAATACATACCATGGAAGTGATTATTATTATGTTTTGCTTCTTGGTAAAAGATGTAAACAAGCAAAGACAAAAGCAAGAAATGAGCTTGATCTGGTCTTGTACCTGCTTATTCTGGCAAATCAAACTTTCTATAAACAAGAATTTGACAGTTTGTCATTTTATGTAATGAAAAGCCAGTTCATTTGAATGAACAAAATCTATAAGCAAAATGACAAAAGTTTAAAAATAATCCATTTAATATCATCATCCATGATAAATAAGCAAATTTTCAAATTTACATAAATTTTACAGAAACCAATCCCCTGTATACAGATCTAGCGGCATGTAGACTGTGCTGGACAGTATCAAATAAGTGAAAATCCCGTTCATTCTTGTCTACTATTGTGTTGCAAACATGCTGTAAACAGTTTCTTCTATCCTTGCATTTACTTAATACAATCAAACACAGAAACTTTAAATAAAGAAAAATGAGAACAAATATTCAAATATTTCTCCCCAAGACATTATAACTCAAAACCAAAGAATATATATATGAATCGAACAAAAGGAATCCTTCTCATTTTACTGCATTATATTCATGAATTTCAATCAGACTTAATCTTGGACCTGTAGATGAGCTTCTTCTTCTTTGAAGTTTGGTTATCCAGTGTGAGCACAATCTTGCCAGGTTCACCGGATTTGAAGCTGCAGCAGATTATTGGCTCATCGGAATGCCCGATCTTCCTCGATTTCTGTACAATCCAAGTGTATCCACCCTCAGCACTGGGTACAAACTCAGCTCCATAGGAAATGTCCCAGCCTACCACTCTCACCTCCCAAGCCAATTGGCATGCCTGCCAATCCAACAAAATTTCGAAAATCAGCATTCAAAAATGAAAATGGATGGTTACTAATAGGATTACTGACGCACGGCAGTGTGTATGAACAAGTGAAAACCCATAATTCACAACCAATATTCTAGTTTCTATTGATTCAATCATGAAGACAAGGATATTAACACAAAAAAACGCATGGATTCACAAAGGATGATCAGAATTTGGATTGAAGTAGCCTTGGTCATAGTCAATTTAAACACATAAACCCAGTCCACTTGCAGCCGCGTTGATCGAAATGACTAAGTTTAATGACTTTGCCAGTAAACCGAATCGGTTGACGAAAAGGAAACCCCAGCGCCCCCAAAGCTGAGACCAAGGTCTAAAAGATTGAAAAAATTAATCATTCACAACCACTGATGAAGTGGCCAATCCCAATTTATAGAAAAGATCCAGATTCAGATGAAGTCGCAGGCCAAAGTGTTTAAAAAGACTCTAGGAATTTTTAAGGTCAATGATTGCTCATAATGATCCTAGTTATACAATACAACCAAAATAAACAAAAGGAAAATCTGAAAATTACCAGAACAAAAATCCTAGTGCAAGAGGGAAATGTAAACATTACCACACTATGGGTTCGTTTGATTGTAAAGATAGAATTAAATTGCCTATAAAACGAATTTCAGGGAATTGAATTGCCTAGAATTATTTTCCTGGGAAATGTAAATTATTGTGTTTGATTGGTATAATTTTCCACGTGGAAAATGTTAAAATAAAAGTATTTTTTTTTTTTTTTTTGCAATGGAAACAAATTTTATTTCCAAAACCAGTAAATTTCATCCATTTAATTGAAAATTTTCATTTAAAACAAATTCTCAAGAAAATCATCTATCTTTGAATGTTTGTTTGGCTTTGTTTTACATAGAAATTGTCAATTAAATGAAAATATTTTTTTATAATAATTCTTAGAATTTGTTTCTATTTTTTTTTTTTTTTTTGCAATGGAAACAAATTTCATTTCCAATACCAGTAAATTTCATCCATTTAATTGACAATTTTCATGTAAAACAAAGTCTCAAGAAAATCATCTATCTTTGAATGTTTGTTTGGCTTTGTTTTACATAGAAATTGTCAATTAAATGAAAATATTTTTTTATAATAATTCTTAGAATTTGTTTCTATTACCAACCAAAAATAAAAAATAAAAAATTCCAAAAAAAATATAAAACTTGCTAGAGTGCCTGGATTTCCAATTCTCACCATATAACTTTTAACAAAAGCAAGAATTGATTTCCATAGAATTTAAAATGCTATCAAACAACTAAAAAAGGGAAAAGAAGGAATTGAAGTTCCATGGAAATGAAATTCCATGCTATCAAACTGGCCCTACTACTAAAATAATCCCTAAACCTCAAAAAGATAATAAAAATGTGCGTGACTCCATAGAGATGGAATTTGCCCAAAAACCACAAGAGCTCAAAGGCCTTGCCACAAGTTTTTATCATAAGATAGTAAAAACTTAGAAAAATGGGATCACCTGCCAAATCCAAATCACTTGCCCATATGACTTTGTTAATCACAATCTGGACTATTAACCAAGAACACAAAGGCATCGCCCACAAGTTTTTATAATAAGATAGTGTTTACTTGGAAAAATGGGATCATTTGCCAATTCCAAGTATATTAATCACAATCTTGACTGTTAAAAATACTCTTGCCTATAATACGATTTAGACATCACAATTATCTCCAAAGGCCATATATAGCGGGTTGCAATACTCAATATTTTCATAGACTTGCTCACCTCAGGAATTGGCAGTTCAATAGTGTGCTTGCATGCTGGCTTGATGAATTCCTCAGTTGCAGGATCAGCCGTTGTGAATTCCCGTTCACCCTCCCGGCTGAGGCCTCCATATTGAACTGGTACTTGCTCAGGTGCTATGTATCTGATAATTTGAGAGTCCAAAAATAGATGTGTTAAAATCACATAAACTTGTACAAAAAGAGAAAATAGGCGATTATTTATCAAATGAAAATAGTATCAAAGAACAAACTTGAAGAGGGTTTCTGCAGTCTTAGTCGGGCCTGCAAATACGAACTTGCTTTTGGTCCTTTCAGTGAAGAACGGACTGATCATCCTGTTGTAAGCCACATACCACCATGGAACATTGATGAAAACCTAGTTCACCACCAACACACAAATCAAACTGTTAAAGAAGATAATATTTATTCATCTAAATTTACTCTGCAGCACAGCCTTCACGTACAACTTTTTAGGTAACAAGTGAAAGATTTTCATAGATGCATGGTGGCAAGACAAGAACCAAATGGATTATAGGCGTAAAGTTTATACCTGTTTGGCAACAAATTCAGGATAATTGTCTTGGAGCAACTGGAGGGCCTGGTTGGTGGCCTGGCGGAGTTCTTTCTTGAATAAGAAAAGTCCAGGGGAATTCTTCAGATCATTCACTTGGACAATTGTGCAAACACCTTCTGGGCTAAAATCAAGCTTCCTTATACTTTTCTCCAGAAACTGAATCCTCCATCTTAAAAACTTGGCTCGTTTCTCAGCATCAGCAAATGTGTTGTTATACAAATCCTTGTCCTGGAATTCTCCGTATGCGTTATAACAAACGGGGTGTCCTTCTTTATCCACTCCATGCATATACACAACCTTTTCAATCCCCTCACAAATGGTTTCTTCTTCCAAGAGTTCATCAATCTTGAATTCTTTTCTCCAGGCTACAACACTTTTCAGCATCGAGAAGGCTTCTTTGACCTTGAAATCCCTGGCTCTGAGGAATTTGAGGAGAATTGCATCGCTTCTTTCGTCGACCAAAAGTGGGATTCCCCAGATGGAAACCTCCTCCGGTGGCGGCGGCGGCGGTGCTGTTTCTTTCACTGCTTCCTTCTCCATCGGGGCAGGGGTAAACTCCTCTGCTGGTGGCGGTGGAACTTCATGAACTATAGTTTCTTTTATTTCTTCAACAGCAGCTGCAACTTTTTCTTCAATTTTTTCAACAACAGATTCTGATGGCTCTGCCGCCTTAGCCGGTGGAGTGGGTTTCTCTTCCTTCTCTTTCTCCGCCGAGACCTCTGGTTCTGGCGGCGGTGGAACTTCAGAAAGAGCCTCACACGATTCTTTTTTATCCTCAGGTTTTGATTCTTCTTCATCTTTTTTCTCTTCAGGTTTTGGTTCTTTTTCTTCCTTCTTCTCTTCAGCTTTCGGTTCTTCAGGTTTCTTTTCTTCCTCCTTCGCCAAAGGCGGCGGAGGCGAAGCAGTGAATTCATGCTTTTTAAGTGCTTCTTGAACCAACAATTTGAATTCATCCAACGCCTTCTTCTGGGGGTCAATCAGATCATCGACCTTGTTGCTTTCCTCTTTAAACGAAGCCGATTCAGTTATTTTGTTCTCTTCAACAGCACCACCTTTAACGACCTCTTCCGCCGCCGGTTTCTCAGCCTTTTCTACCTCACACTCCTCCTCCGGCTGTGGTGGCGCCTCCTTCTCCGTGGGTTTCCCAGGCACCGGCACATCAGTTACCACAACCTCTTCACTCGCAGCCACGGCAACAGCAACAGATTTCTTGGTTTCTTCAGCCATGATTATACAATTCAAGAATAAACAAGAAATTAGATTTTTGACAATTAATTAAAGCAGAGAGTGGGGATTAATATAGGAAGTGCCGAAGTGGGCTACAAGAATAAGGGGTTGTGGGTGTAACAGTCTGTTTTGCCAGCTAGTTATCAATGGGGTCCACGACAACCTATTCATTCAAACCGATAGATGCACTCTTTCCTATAATTTAGCATTTTCCATATATTTTACTATACATGCGTTTCACTGGTCATTCAGGGCATGTATTTTGTCTTCTTCAACGGCCGAGTTTTTGCGGCGCCTTCCCCGTAAATTTTAAGAGAATTTCTGTTCATGAATGTGTATGTTTGGCTAAACTTATACTAATAAAGTATGTAAAAAGTAACTTTAAATAACTTATTTTTGCTTTTTCTTCAACATATTGTGAAAGGATGATTTTATATTGAATTTTGTTTTAAGATTCATTACTTCTCGTGTTTAATGAAGTATTTCGTAACGAAGAAAAAGCTAATTTTTTCTTTATTGGCCAAGTTACATTGATATAAATTTTCGTTCTTCTAAAAGTTCAAACATTAATCAAAAGAAGATGTCCGGGGCTACCTTGGTATGATTAATTAATGTAAATAATTTTGGCCATTACTCAATAGCCTTGGTATCATCATCATTAGGGGATTGAAATTTTGGTAATATAAATTAGGTGGGCTTAAAATTTTAAAACTATGGGCACATACGATTTTGGAGTACTTTTCAATGATTCAATAAACTAATTCCTATCAACGTCTATATATTACATCCTTTATTTTAAAAAAAAATTATATATATATATATAAAATTCTAAATTATTTGTTACGATATCATTCTCCATGATACATTCGCACAATAATATTTCTACACACGAACCAATAAAATTTCTTTATTTTTTAATTAAGCATTATTTAAAAAATATTATTCATAACTCTTAATTTTTCAAATAATGAATGACAAATGAGGTCATAATTGTATGCACGTGGTATGTGGGACCATCGGCCTTCACATTTTCATGTGGCAAAGCAATCCTAAGCCGTTAGGTAATCTTTCTTGATTTATGTTAAAGCAACCGGGCCTTTCGATCAAAATATAGATCAAGGGCCGAGGTGGCTCCTGTCCCAATTGCGTGTCCCCAACCCTGTTGCTATAGCAGGGCTGATCTTTCTTAGCTGTCTTTTCAATTTCTGAAAATTTAAATTTAAAATTTCCTTTCCAGCAGATTTTTAGCGTGAAGGCCCCAACTTGTCTCTACCCGTTGGGGAAAGGTTATTTTATTTTCATCATTTCACGATAAATTATTCCATACATTTTTGAGGTGATAAATAAAAATATAAAATAGCTAACTCAGATACATTACAAATTGGTCACAAATGGTTTCATCAAATCCCTACACCAAAATTCTTAGTCAAGAGTATCAATGATAGGGTCAGCGATTTTTTCTCACAATTCGAGTTAAATATATTTTCTTCAAACCATCTGAACCATGATCTAATATTACATAGAAAATAAATGAAGCTCCAATCGAATAAGAATCACAAATTGATGACAACTGACCGATTACCCTCTTGAGGAGTCGATCGACTGAACAAAGATGTCCGAAATGATGGAACTTTTTTTTAAGGCTCTAAAAACTGCCTGACATGGTTAGTGGCTTTTTATCGAATTTATTACTTTCGCACTGATCTTTTCCACTTATATTATATTACTTTTTTCTTCCCATCTACTTACTTTCACATCCAAGGTCGAATAGGGAGATGGAAAATGCCACTTTGTCCGAAAATGTTTGACATCCGAGTTAACCGTTCTTCACAAAGTGCTCGAGTTCCACGTGAATTAAATAATGCTCGACCCCAGAGGTGTGTACGTTAGGTCATCCACTATGTCAACCATTATGTTCTCCTAACTCTGACCATAGAAAGATAGCCCTAAATTCTTTCGTAGGTAACCAAGTTTTAGAAGTGGCTGGCACCACCTTCAACCTTGTCTTATTGAGAAAGTTGAAGAGTCGTGTTGAGGTGGTTTTATAATCGAACTAAACTAAACAATATGCATTGGTTTGAAAACTGGGGGGAAAATAAAAGGTGTTTATGATACCACTTTGAATGATGTAATTAGTGACATACACCAAAGTTTACATGTAGCAGTTTTGTTAAAATTTATTTAATTTCAAGTTTTAAAATATAAAAAATGAGTGGATCTATTGTTGGCAATAAACTTGAATCCTAATTACTTTCAGTTGTCAAATTATTTTTAATAATCTCTCAATTAAATAAATTTATATAAAATACAACAAAGAAAAGGCATTGATACGTGTACATTAATCTTTACGTAATGGGTTATATAATGTTATATGTCACTATATCATTTGTCAGTTTAATATAGTCAACTTTTTCATCAAATTTTTTTCCTTCACATTATTTTATATAATTCCTCATTTACCATTTTTATGTATAAGTAACATAATCCTAATATGGAGGACGGTCATATTCCAAGAAGGCATTGCATGATGGAGCATCAACGAGTGCTTTGGCTTCAGTTTATAAATTTACACCAAAAAAAATTCTCAAATGTCATCTGTACAACCAAAAAAAACAAAAAGGATCACATAAAAATATTTTTATTGATTAACAGGATGAAATTTTTCCTAAGTTTTTTCCTTTTTTTTTTTTTTAAGAAAATCATCATATAATATAAATATACACGTATTCTAATTGATGAGAAATTAAGTACAAGTATGCCACGTTAATTATAAGTATTTGAGCTAACGATAGAGACAGAGCCAATATATATATATATATATATTTTTTTAATGACGGGGGAACCCGCAATCACTACCCTCGGGTGCGCACTGGGTATATCCTCGGACTGTCGCAATAACTTGCAAACCACTATAATCAGGTAAATTGCACTAAACAAGTCCTGTGCGAGAGATAGAACCAATATTATTTATAGGAGTGGCAAAAAGTGTTAAAATGACAAAAAATATATATTATATATAGATTTATTTTCAAAGTTTGCCTGTCAATTATAATTAGTTTTTCTAATTATAAGTGCCGGCCGGTCCGGCCAGCCTTATTAACTAATATAGATTAATGTAATACGAATGTTCTGGATTATAATTATTCTTAACGTGTTCGTGTTTTCGTGGCATATTATAATTAATAGTCTACCATATTTTGTTTAGATAATGGAAAGATAGAAAAGGAAAACGAAAGTCTACATTATTCTCATCTCATTTTCTTTTTCTCCAAGCAAGAATAAAGGGAAAAAGATTATATAATTAGAGGGTGTTTGGTAAAAATTAAAATTAAATTTTTTAGTAGATTGTGATAAAAAATTTTGAAATGTATGATTGAAAAGTTGTTAAAATCATGATAGATGTAGTTAATATTGATTGTTTGACTTTGATTTAGATTAAAATCAGATTTAATCCGTCTCAAATATGCTCTCTCTCTCTCTCTCTCT